TATTTTGAGCTTGAGAAAGTCTAAGAGCAGAGATCTCTAGCAACAGCTCTGGAAACTGCAGAAATGCTACACCTCTGCTAACCTCCTTGAAAAAAAGAGGTATTGTGTTGAGAGTACAAACATACAGAGCTGACCGCTCGGCATCAACTCCCTTCTCTGGCATGTGAACAAAAAGTAGGTAACACCCAGGTAAGTACATTCTTTGGAAAGGAGCCCCAAATGCTGAGCAGATTTCACAGTCAACAGGGAAAAAGAATATCAGTATTTTTTGAGGGAAGAAGGTCCTATTTCTCTCCACAATAATGAAATGGTGGTATTATTTTCTGATTTGTCATAGAGGCTTCCATACAAAAAAAAAAAAAAAAAATGAATTTGCATTTTGCTTGATTTGTCCTAGATGTTACTCCAAAAAAAAAAAAAAGGCTTTACTAATTTCTAATTGATGGAAGGAGGGGATTCTGACTGACTTAATTAACTACTATCTGGTTTCCCTGGAAGAAAAACAATGCTAAAACTTGTCATCTTTTGTCTTAGAAGTATCTTGCTAGCAGTTTAATTAAAACACAAAATGAGCCCTGGCCGGTTTGGCTCAGCGGTTAGAGCGTTGGCCCGCGGACCAGGGAGTCCTGGGTTTGGTTCCTGCTAAAGGCACGTACCTCGGCTGTGGTTTGTCCCCAGCCCTGGCTGGGGTTATGTGGGTGGCAACCTGTCAATGTGTCTCTTTCACACCAATGTTTCTCTCTCTCTCTCTTCCTCCCTCTCTCCCTCCTGCTCTATCTGAAGATAAATGCAAAAACGTCCTCAGGTGAGGATATTAAAAAAAAGAAAAAAAAAAACCCACACAATGAAATTTCAGTCCATGGAAACTCTAAATGGGCCTGGACAATCATTTAAAACTTTTCTATGAGATAAATCTTTGCTGTGTGGGAACTGATCAAGACCATGTTGGCATTACGCATTGTTTTGAGTCTACAATTTTTATGCAGTTCCTGAGTTAAACAGTAGATGGCTCCACGTTCCTTGTCTTTGAAAGGGTTGGTGCTTTCCAGCATTAACAGCTGGTGCTGGTTCAGGAAAGTAAAAAGGACTAGTTTGGGGGAGAAAAACTGCAAAATTAATGTTTGTAATTTTGGAATATTATTCAACTTAGGAAAGTGGCATTGTTCATTCTGTACAGTTGAAAATACAGACCGGCTGATAAAGCTACTTAGTCTTATTTCCTAGGTGGCTGTCTATAGACGATGACATTTAATTATTTCGTTTTCTCAGGGGAATAAAAGCGATCTTCTGGATAATGAAAATCATCATTAGCTAATTAAGTGCTGTCAAAAAGAACTTTCTGGGATACTGGAAATGTTCCTCTTCAGCACTGTCCAATACAGTAGCCGCTAGCCAAGTATGGCTAGCACAACTGAGAAACAAAATTCTTTATTTTGTTTAATTTAATTAAACTTGAGTTTAAATACCCCCATGTGGCTATCAGCTGTCATACTGAACGACAAAGAAAGTAGCTAAATCATTATTTATACATGATACATCCCAAGGCAAAATTATTTACAGAGTATTATTTCTGGGAGAGTCCTCTGGTATATTTTTCTCAACCCAATTCATCTCAGCAGGTAGATGACCTGATACTTAGAGAGGCCACTTAGTAAACAAGCAGAATTTTCTACTTGCATCTTATTATAAAACATGGTTACTGAGATCATTTTATTGGGGGGAGGGGAGACGCTGCAAGTTCTTGAAAAACTACACTAATGCCTCCCCCTCCATTCTTTTTAGACAAGTAGAAAGATTATGGTAGACTACACAGTAAAGTGTCTTCCTTTCTTACAAAACTTATTGGTACTTTCCCTGTGTTAAACTAATTTTCACACCAGGGTTTCCTAATAGAATTTCTATCAATTGAATGATTTCCCAGATATAGACACACCTTGGAATAAAATAATAAATATAAAAACCTAAGAAAAAAGTGGTGAAAAATCTGGTTAAAAATTTAGTTAATTCAAAAAAATTTCCTGATTCAACCTTCTTGATAGTATTTTTAAATACACTTGCAGGAGATAAACAAAAGCAGTTTCAGGAAATGTTAAATCTCTATATAATTTTCATCCATAAAAAGAAACTTCACTGTCCTCTTCTTACTTCCATGCACCCAGGAAGTAGGTGAACACCTGACTGCAGATCACTTCAGCCTTCATTACCCCACCGCTTATCCAGGCTGCAAGTGCATGGAGTGGTAGTATAGCAAAAGAAATCAGTCATCACAGAGCTGAAGGCCCATAAATCATCTAGTTCAACACCCTGTCTAATTTCACAGATAGTGCAGGTACAGGGAGAGTAAGTGACTTGTTAGGGCACCAGGTCAGCTAGGACCTTCGTCTCTCTCTATTTTGAAGGCAGAACTCTGTCCAGAGCACCAGGCTACAATATCTGTCATTTTAGGATATTATAATGGCCTTTCCATTTATTAATTTGCGGACATGGGATTCAAGAATCTCAATCCCTGCTTCAGAGATTCCAGACTCTTCTCTCGTGAGGGAGAATACCCTCCTTTCCCCATCTCCTGTCTTTGGGGTCATCCACCTGCTTCTCCGAAGTACAATTCTCTCAGGTTGCCTTTGGAGATGGATACAGTTGATCCCATCACTTCCTGTGCCATATTAGGTACCTTACCTAGCATAGACAGTCACCCAGCTTCTCCCCTTCAATTTTATGACCATTTCTCTTTTTCCTAGGTTGTGTTATTCAATTGATTTTTTTTTTGCCTTATTATAGTTTCTTAGCCAGTAATTAATTTTAGATGGTAAGAAGGTAATGTTAGGCACAATATAAGAAATATGTCTTATCATAAATGATACATATTTAGAAATATATACCAAAGAATAAGTTAAATTAGATGCTAAGCTGAGGAAGGTAAGGGGAACAATAAATGTAAATGGTTTCTGGTGATTTTCAATTCCAAAAGATAGTATGATCCCCAGGTATCAGGTGTGGTAGAAGCAGATTAACTGTCTAATGGAGCACATAAAACTGAGCAAAACTGAAAATACGCATGGGAGAAATAAATTCTAAGAATTTAACACTCCATTAGACAGCCAGAAAGTCCAAAGCCAGTATGCTTAGTAGCCAGAAATGTTGCCACCTCTAGGAAAACAAAGGATTGACAGACAAGCAGTGGAAGAACGCCAACAAGAAATTTGCTAATCAGTGGCTGATCTTTTCATCTTTGCTGGAAAAATCTGCTTGAAAGGCATAATACAGCACTGCTTGTGAACCCTGATTTCTATCAAAAGTGCCCTGGGTCCTCACTGGCTCAACCACTGTCTCCCCAAAAAATAAAGAGCCATTCACCGAAAAGGTCTAACAAGCTGTCACTTTTTTCCTATGAAAATCTCAACAGCCAAGAATTATTTTGTTGTTATTTCTCTTTAGACATCAATTCTACATTCACTCCCACCTTCACCTGACCTGTTATTTTCCTTCCAAATCTCCAATCAGTATATACTGTCTGGTTCATTGAACCTCGTTTCTTAGCACAGGCTTATCACCATGGTCCAACTATGTTTTAAATTGAGACACAGATATCACATGCCAAGCTCTAGCTACTGTTTTCAAGAGGAAAGAATAACTATTCACCCCATCTGAGTCTGACTGTACCAGACATTATTCAAGAGTGCAAAACCTTGACCCCTGGACTCTTCCCCTTTTTTTATGTACCCAGTTCAGGGACCTTCCCTCCGTCTAATTAGAGATCATCCAGGACTAAATATAGATCTACGAACACCAGGCGTCCCTGACCATCGTCACATGGTGCTATTGACGAAAGATTTCCTTAGAGATGTGTTCAATCCAAACACACCTATGCAAATTTCAATATATTTTCATCTATATCACTGTACGCACTGAATTAATCAGCAATGCCAGACATATCTACATTCATCAGAGAAAGTCGCTCCCCAGAGACCTCCTACTGCTATTTACCACACTTGTGCCACCCTCTGTACATTGTTTTTGCTTGAACTGCACCAATTCGGTCTGGTTAAGGTGAGAAGCAATATTCAAAGATATGCAAATACGCCCGTGCACGCCCACGCGCGCGCACACAAACGCAGGCCCCCCTGTTGTGCCCTTTTCTCCCGTACAGCACTGAAGTTGTCCCCACCGTTGCTCTAGAAAGAGGAGCCTCCCTCATGATAGCTGCCTGCGAGGCTCCCAGGTACCCCCAGTCCATGTTATTACCGTCCAGCAGGTCACCGGCAGCTATTCATTCACCTGAGCTCAGAGAACAAGGCGACTTGGTGTGTCCCAAGTTCGCCAGATGAACCGGAGTGGAATAAAAGAATATCACCTCGTCGGGAGCGAGCTCACGACTTGACTGTTCCCTTGTCCCTTCCTAATAAGAACATAGTTTATACGGCTCCGACATTAAAAATAAACAATTCCCCGTAAGCACCCCCCCCGACACACACACACACACACACACACACACACACACACGGGAAAACTAGCCAATAAGTATAAGAGAACAACCTAGCTGTGCAAAGGAAGGGGTGAAGAAGGGATGAACGCGACTACAACTCAGAAAAATGCTCAAAAACTATACCAAGATCTCACAACAGAGAGCCTGGCTGCGCGATCGGGTCGAGAGAAGCAAGGCAAAACCCAAGCCTGTCCCCGTCCGAGCCCCAGAAGCTGGGCCCCGCACCTGTTGGCACTGGATCCGCTCCCAGGGCAGCCCGGGCGCCCTCGGCAGCGGGACAGTGGGACTCCCCGGTCCCTGGCTCTACGCGGCGCTTTGAGCCAGCGAGAGCGCGCTTGCCCCAGGCTCTCCCGCCACCCAGGGAGCACCGGGCAGCCGGGGCGCAGTCTGAGAGCCGGGCTGGCTCGACGCGCAGTTCCCGGGTCTTCTGAGCAGCAAAGCGCGCAGAGCGATCGTGCGTTCCTGCTGCCCAGCTCTGTCCTTCCCAGGAGACTAGCCTGGTCGGGGAACAACCCACCTGCAGATGAACCCCAGGTCCTCGCCTTCGCGGCTGTTTGCCGCGCGCCCACAGATGCAACCTAAGGACAGGGAGCGAAAGCGCGCGGGAAGAAGTAGGGAAAAAAAATCCCGCACAACCAGTCCGCTCCCTGTTTATACTGAAACTACAGCTCAGCTGCCGCGCACACCCCCTAGGCTCCGAGTGCCCGCCTTCCACCGCAGCCCCGCCCAGCCCCGGCTGGCACAACCAATCACGGCGCAGCTCACCGCCCACTCCGCAGCCGCCTCCAGCGCCGGGGCGGCCCACACGTCTCCGGGGGCGGGACTCCTGCGGTGCGGTCGCCCGGGTGCCCTCCCACGCGGAGGAGGCCCGCGAGCCCAGCGCGGTGGTGTTTACCCGCACTGGTTCGGCTCGTTCCGAGGGCGAGCGTTTCCTCCTGAGTACACCTGCCCGGGGCTGTTTGTGCATGCGTGTGTGTGTGTGTGTTCACTTACCTGTGTACTACCTGTAAATACCGGCCCGACTAGTTATACAGTTTTTATTAACATAATTATGAGCTAAGGCTTACTGTCCAAGTAACTTTCAGAAGAGCGCTGAGAGCAATCACAAGAACCTTCGCTCAGCAAGTATTTACAGAGAGCCGGAGGGCTAGGCATTGTGCCCAACGCCGGGGGCACACTTCAGGTCCAAGTAGGCTGGTCCCTGTCGTTGCGAAGCTTACAGTCTAGCGGAGCACGAACATCGAGCAAATGGTCACCCAAACAAACTGGAAAGTTGCGGCTGTTACAAGTTCCACAAAGGAAGGGAACCTGTGCTGTGAAATATGATTCTGGAGGCAAAGAGGGGAGGTCAGTCCTCCGTAAAGGCTGTGTTGTCATGGTAACCATATACTCTATCATTGGATACTTGATAACTTTTTTTTTTAAGGTAAAAACCTCAGTACTTCACCTTGTACAAATAAAAGGAGGTTGGCGGGAAGAAACAATGGAAACAAATAAGGAAAGAAAGAGACCCAGAGAAAGAAAAAAACAAAAACATAAGGAGACTATCTTGCCAGCTATGTGACCTTGAGTAAGTGAAATAGCTTTTCTGAGCTTCGGTGTTCCCATATATAAAACAACACTATTCATACCTGTTTCTAGGACTATAATTAGGATTACTGAGATTCAGAAACCTTTTTATGTCCCTGCTCCATCTTCTCCCCCTTCCTCCTCCTTCCTGGGGTGGAAACCGTCATCTTGAAGTTCACCTTGCCTATTCTTAGCTGATTTCTACCCTCATTTTCTTCATCTGTGCCTCCTCTCACTTCTCTTCCTCTAATTATACTCCCTCCTTCTCTCCTGCAAATGGGTCTCCCTGACTCAGTAACTCACTCTCACTTATCCCAGCCTCTCTGCAGTTTAAAGCAGCCACCCAGCCAAGAGAGGTTGGCTGGGGCCAGCCTGCAGAGTAAAGCAGAGGCTTGGGCGGCCCAACTGCTGTGGCGGGTTGTCGTTCACGCTCAGTTTTCCATTCTGCTTCTGTAACAAACAAGCCATAGGAAGCCGGGCAGGTCATTTACAATCTTGAGATTCCTGGTAGTATAGCAATACATTAAAAGGGTTGAACTAAATCAGGATTCCTTAATGGAAAATATTTGACATATCCTTTGTAACCACTGGATACACACACCAGCCAAAAAGATTTTGCCCAGTTTTACTTTCTGAAGTTTTTTCCCACCAAAACCAAACAAAAAAATGTTTATTTTAGTTTCTCAAAATATAAAAAAGATACTATGAAAATATTTTTCAATGCTTTACCAAACCATATTTCTGCTCCCCATTCTGGTGAATCCCCGGGGCCCCTTCCAGCTCCCTGTCTGAGAGGTGATAAGTAGGGGGCAGCTCCAAAGCTAGGTGGTCCAAACCCCAATCCTGTCTCTATCGCTTAGCCAGCCATCAAACCTTAGGAGAGGCATGGAAGGACTCTGGGCCCCAGTTTACTTATCTGAAAATAGCACTCATGGTTTGCATTGGTAACTTCTTCATTGGGGTGCTGAGAAGATTTAAAAAGACAATACATGAAATGGGTTTGGAACCACATCATTCAGAGGAGCCTTCCCCTATCCCTATATTGAAAACTGTAGTCAACCCCACTCCATAGTGTCCTTCTCTGTTTTGTTATTTCCTCCAAAGGACTTACCACCATTAACACACTGTATATTTTACTTATTATTGCCTCTCCCCCGTCACTAGGATAGAAGCTTGATAAGAGCCAGGTGTGTTGTCATTGTAGTTATTTTCTTGCTGTATTTCCAGTGTCTAGAATAGCGTCTCACACATTATGAGCTCTCAATAAATATATATTGGTTGAATTAATTAATGCCTAGCACATGGTAAGCACTCAAATAATATAACTATGTATCAATTATTCTCTATCATAAAAAAAGATATCCTCTACTTCTAATAGTTTCTTTCTGGTCTTTTGACTCCATGAACTCATCTCTTATCTCTGTAAATGTTGGTAAGCTCAATAATACTAGTCAAATTAATGCAAATAAAGCCCTACTGAGTAGGACTTTACTTGAATAACAAAAATAGCCAACTGTCCTGAGCTTCTGCTAAGTGTCAGGCTCTGTGCTAAACATTGTTTTCCTTTTCCGTTCCTCTTGGACCTCAGGTGCACACAATTAGAGTAAGCATCATGACTGATCCGTGTCTAACACTCTCCAGTTTATTTTAGTCTTTTTCATTTCCCATCTAAAGTCCCAGTTTTCACCACCCCAACGGTGTTTAGTCTTTCACACAGTGTGTTTTTCAATCCACCTATCATGAACAATGATGGCATTGTTTTGTGTGAGTACACATGAGTGTATTTACCCACATGTAATTGTGTAATTTGTCTCATTCTGCCTCTCACTGGTTTCCCTCTAGCTTTGATTTTGATCATCTATGTTGACCTGTTGATGTTGTTTACTCCTTTTACTCCCAGTTAAGTATTTCACCATATTTGTACTATGTTTTTGTTTTTTTTATACTCACCCAAGGACATTTTTTTTTTTTTTTTTTTTTTTGCATTTATCTTCAGATAGAATGGGAGGGAGAAAAGGAGGGAGAGAGAGAGAGAAACATTGATGTGAGAGAGACACATCGAGTGGTCGCCACCCACATTACACCAACCGGGGCCGGGTACAAACTGCAACCGACATACGCGCCCCTAACGGGAACCGAACCTGGGACTCTCTGGTCCGCAGGCTGATGCTCCAACTGCTGAGCCAAACCGGCCAGGGCTGTGTTACGATTTTTTACTTACATGATCTTTTATCCTTGCCAAACCCCTGAGATGTAGGTATGATTCCCTCCATTTCAGACATGAAGAGATGAGGCTTAGGAAGGTGGGTAGCTTATCAAGGCCATTTAGCTGAAGAAGCCATGAATTAAACCCATATTTCTCGGACTCCAATGCTCCTGTCTTCCCACTCTATAAATTGGATATAGTTGCTTACTCTAAGATTTATGAAATAATGTCTGAAAAAAATCCTCTACCATTAACTGGATTGAATTTACATGCCCAAGATATTGCTGTTAAAAGTAGTAGACATGTGTGCAGTGGCACAATGGGGCTGTGCATGGGAGCACTGGGCCAGGCTGGTGGGGGGTGGGGAGCACCCAGGGGCCTGGGCAGAGTGAGCGGTGGCACTCAGCGAGTAGCATCCACTGGGGCTGCATTGCCACAGTGCCCAACATGCCACTGAGCCTGCTCATCCCACCGCTGCCATCTGCACTTGACCTGGCCAAGGTGTAGAGCCTCATGGGCATGATCTGGGAGGACCCAGACAGTGTGCCCCATCAATGTCTTCTGGATCAAAGGGGCCGAGGGTGGTGACTACTTCTATTCCTTCAGGGCTGCCACAGCTTCGTGTCCTACCAGGAGCTGCAGCGAGAGACCATCCCTGCTAAGATTGTCTAGTCCACCCTCTCAGACCTAACAGTATGTACCTGGGTGCTTCGTGCAGGACTTACAATAGTAATCTCCTTGGTGCCTGTCACCACTCCCAAAAGCCCAGAAGACACACCTGACCTCCAGTGGGCTTGCCATGCCGAAGGTGTAGCAGGGGTACATTCTCTTTATACCTGGAAGGAGGCTTTAAGCACCCTCTTTGCTAAATGCAAGACCTTGGACTCACAGCTGAACAGTGTGGGAGGCCCAGTTCCCACTGCTGTGAAAATGCGTCATGTCTTTGTTCTCAAGGGATTATTGAGACGGTGAAATGAGGAAGGACATGGGTTTGGAGAGCCACATGTGACTGGCTCCAGATTCCCAAGGACAAGGATCCTTACGCATTTTTGTCTTAGTTTATCCTATTATGTGGAATAGAATTAGCTGTAGGTAATGAAAACCTAGGTTATAGTGACTTAAACAAAGAGAAGTTTGTTTTTCCATATAGCATCAATCCTGGAGAGAGGTGACTAATGGTGTTGGTTTAACAGCTCAGTGAGGGTAGCACCCACATCTCTGTGATCCTTTCCGTCTTTCCTTTGTTGCTTATCACTTCATGGTCATGAGATGGCTGAGGTACCTCCAAGAATCATGGCTATGTTCAAGGAAGAAAGGAGTGGGGGTGGAATAAGGGCCGAGCCAGCTGACTCTGTCAATTTCTAGCATAAAGTCAACCCTTTGCCAGAGGCCTGTTTCCTACCCTCTCCCCTGCATATTTCCACTAAGGTCTCCTTGGCCCAAACCAGCTACCATTGCCTCCCCTAGCTGCAAAGCAAGCTAAGACAGCAGGGAACAGAATTGTCACAATTGAGTGAACGGATTGTATCCTATCTCCTGGGACTGCCACACTGCGTCCTGAAATAAAATTGGAATATCATCACCAAGAGAGACATGAGGAATTATGTATCGGTCAGCCTTTGCTGTGCAACAAACACCCCAAACTTAGCAGCCAAAAACAAGTCAATTATTTGCCCACAGTGCAAATCATAAGGCTGGCCCAGGATTCAAGAGGTGGCCCAGATTCTTCTTAGAGAAACTGAAAATAATTTGTGTCATTTTTCATCTATCACAAATTATTTGCATAAGCAAATAATAGTGTTTCCCTCTCCCTCTTTCCTCCCCACCCCCTCTCCCTCTCTCAAGGCCTCCTTCTGCTCACTAAAAATTGTT